TTATAGTAATTATCCTACCACCAGCAAACTTAATAACAATTTTTTCTTTATAGACTACAGCCATTATGGGCCTCTGTATAGTAACAATCGCACCCTAAAGTGGGAAGGGAATGCATCCTACCTATATGCTGAAGAAAATCACTCCATCTCCTGGCATGGAGGAGAATTTGTTGGGCCTCAATTACAACATGACAATTGGCCTCTACAAAGTACACAGTGGAAATTAGCTGCTGCACTTGCACCTATAAAATGGTATCATTTCAATTATAGCTCAAATAATTCCATTTCTGCTTTACAAGTAGCTCTCAATAAAACAGTGTTTGCTACTGCCTGTGTGTTTGATCCGTTTGTGCTCCTATCAGGCCCCATTCAGATACATCTTAATGTTAAAAGCCATCTGTATGAGGTGCCATGCACAGTTTGCACATTATCCCATTGTATTAATTCTTCATTTCAAAAGAAGTCCCTAGTGATTTTAAAACAACTAGCTTTTGCTTGGGTTCCCACTAACTTAACTGAGCCTTGGGAATCTCATCAAACCCACCAACTACTGCGTGATCTAGTAAAAACCTTAAAAAGACAAAAAAGATTTCTTGGAATGTTAATTGCAGGAATCTTTGCCCTCATAACGTTACTTACTTCTGTGGGCATTGCTGCTTCATCTATGGTACGGACTGTTCAGACCTCTCATTTCGTACAGGTCAAGGAAAATGTAACTAAGACCTTGCCTATACAAAAAAGAATTGACAACCAGTTTGAAAATGAAAATGACAAGTCAGCATTAAAGTCTACAGTCCTGTGAATGGGTGATAAAATCCATGGCCCTAGAGCAAAGAATATCTTTACAGTGTCATTATAATTTTTCCCAGATTTGTGTTACCCCTGTTCCCTATAATAGTACCCTGCACCCTTGGGAATCGATAAAAAATCATCTTCTTGGTGCTTGGGGTCAAGGTAACACAACCCTCGATATTTTAGAATTACAACAGCATATTGTACAGTTGTCCGAGGCAAATTTACAAACTAATTCTTTGAAAGCCTGGCAACAATTTAAAGAGGACTTGAAAGAATTTAACCCCTTCCACTGGATATCCTTGCATTTACCTCTCAGCATAACCACTATTGTTTGCCTCATTCTTGTTCTCATATGTTTACTTCTACTCTGCAGATGTGGAATGAAGAGTCTTAAAAGGACTCAAACTCTTCAAGCAGATCTCACTTATCAAGATTTATTAAGTAAAAGTAACAGGGAAGGGTGCCTAGCACATAGTTAATCATTGCCTTTACGGTACTAGGACCTCCCTTAGAGCTAAAAACAGACAATGGGTCCACGTACACTAGTTCTGTTTCCAGTATTTTTGTCAGCAATATCAAATTTATCATAAAACTAATATCACTTATGATTCTCAAGCTATTTTGAAGTAAGCCAATCATATTATTAAGATGCAATTATTAAAATAAAAAGGAGGAGAATCGGATGAATTCATCCAGCAAAGAATTAATAACAACTTCACCTTTGCTGGGAAATCTGTGGGTCCACCTGTATGTTTTGACATCACTAATAATAATCGCATTCCAGGCTGTTCAGGAACCTCACAAAACCCTGTTACTGACTCCCCCACAGGAAAACCTAATCGATGGAATATGTGGGCTCTCACCCGTCAATCTCCTGGGTGCAGGACCCACCTCTTACGGAGCAGGGACTTTACCCCGAGTAAAAAATCCAAGGCTTTGTAGAACATCTTCACAATCAAAGGACACTAAGGAGGGCCCGTGGCCTTTCGTGGATGAAAACACAGGGTTCCCTCCTTGGTAGTATTGCAGATATCCAGAACCTATTCCTTTTCCTTTATATCAATGCAAACAACAGATTTTTGACTGCCCTGTACCTAACCCCACTAAGAACTATAGGGACTATCTTAAAGCTTCCGCTAACTTTCACTGGCAGGAAGCTTTTCTCCCCACAGAAGACCCTGTCACTCATCGGCATTTTAATGGATGGGTCCCAGCAGTCTTAAATTCTATAGTTAATAATCATTCTTATACTCACCATCACTTGTGGAGAGCAATTGCCTCCACAGCGCCTATAACTCTTGATAGACCCCAGCCCCCGCCTTATGGCAAAGAAACTTATCATATTAGAGCTTGTCTACCATCCCATATGTCTTTCTACTAAAAGATTCTCACAGTAACCTGGGTGTGACAACAAATGAAACCACTTTCACTGTTTCCTGTCACAAGTGTATTTTAACCACATGTATTGATTCTAGCTTATCTATTCAGACAATTTTTATTGTAAAGCGACCTCCTTATCTAATGTTACCTGTACAATTGCATACGCCATGGTATGATGATTCTGGGTTACAAGCTATTAGAATAATTACCAACGCTTTAACACGCTCAAAAAGATTTGTAGCAGAATTAGCCTTAGGCATAACTGCAGTCATTACAATTATAGGATCGCTTGTTACTGCAACCACAGCCTTAGTACAGGAAGTCCATACAGCTCAGCATGTAGATCAATTAGCAAAGAATATTTCTCTCGCTCTAGGTACCCAAGAAATAACAGACAAAAAATTAGAAGCCAAGGTTAATGCTCTTGAAGAAGCCATTATACATATTGGAAATGAAATTGTTACACTTAAAATTTGTCTATCATTAAGATGTCGTCTAGATTACAAATGGATCTGCATTACTCCTTTAGAAGTTAATCAGTCAGCAATAACTTGGGACAAAATTCAACATCATATATTAGGAATTTGGAATAACAGTAATTTAAGCCTAGATCTACAAAAGTTACTTCAGCAGATTCATGACATAAGCCAATCACTACTTCATCCTTCCCAGGTTGCATCTTCCTTTTTTAGTGGTTTACAAGGATACATCTCTAAACAAAACATTATCCCCATGCTTTTAAGCGCAGGCCTATTTTTATTCATAACTTTAATAATTATTTGTCTTTTCCCAGTCTTCTTCTGAGTCTTAACACAACCCGAAAGGTGGCTGCTGATTTACATGCGCTACATTTAGAAAATAAGAATGGGGGAGATGCTGGAAGCTGTTCCATCCTTGCTGCTTGACACAGTCGCTGCAGGGAAGAAACATCTACACAGCATTTGTTCCAAGGGACCTAGCGTATATGGCATACTGTTCTTAATATGTTTGCTCCCCTTCTTAGCACTATGTGTTCTAACCAGGGCCACCTTCCCAAGAAAGGTTGTTTCTCCAGGTGGGAATGTTTCCCTAGAGTTAGGATTAATGGGACTAGGAAAGGGAATAAATAAAACCCCCTAGTGTTACAGAAATATCTTGTACTACTTATGAGGAACTTAGACTGTTAGCAATAAATTTAGGACTTGCTAGGCCCACATCCCCAGGGGTCTACCCACCAGAGAAAATACCAAAGCCTATGCCCCTGAAAACCCGCCGACACAGAGCAGTCCCAAAGAAGAGCACCAGCAAGGCTAAAAGGACATAACCTTTACTTAGGCCATAAAATAGGAAAATATCCTTCAGTTATTTCCTTATAGCTTAACAGTAGAGCAGATTAGTGACCTTGGAATAGAAATAGCAAACTAGCCCTTATAATGGAACACAGAGACTAACCTTTATAATAGAATGTAGAAAAATAGACAATAGATAAGATTAAAATCAACAGAGCTAGATAGAGATAAGACTTTTAGCAAAGGTCAGTTAAGAAACTATAAACATAAAACAAGGAACTGTAGAAGGTCAAAGGAGGACCCAAAACATACCATGATGTAACTATAGAGGCATGCTTATAGAATCAAATACTATAAATACAGTTGTAACAGGACAATAAAAAAGAACCTAACTATGCTGATCATCTGAACGCTGTCTCTGTGTCCTTCATTCTTCGCCGACGCTGTCCATACCTTTGGGAACCCCTGGACCGCTGGGGCTGGACCCTGGCAGGTTCCAACCACAATGGTATTTAGTTCCTGGAACATGCCAGTTCCTTAAGGTCTTAGCACATCTGCCTGGAATGTTTCCCCATCCCCAACTTCAGGGTTGACTTAAAAGTCAACTTCTCAGTAAGTGTTCTCTGGCCACACTATCATAAAATTTAACTTTCTGCCACCTGCACATTCCTAAAACTTTATTTTTTAATATATTTTTATTGATTTAAAAGAGGAAGGGAGAGGGTGAGATAGAAACATCAATGATGAAAGAGAATCACTGACCAGCTCCCTCCTGCAAGCCCCACACTGGGGATCAAGCTTGCAACCCGGTCATGTGCCCTGACTGGGAATCGAACCATGACCTTCTGGTTCACAGGTCAATGCTTAACCACTGAGCCATATCCACCAGGCCCAAACTTTATATCTTCCTTTCCTGTTGTTTTTCTCTCTACACTTACCACAAATGACATAATAAATGTTTACTTTTCTAAACCTACTGGAATGTAAACCATCTGCAGTCAGATTTTCTATCTTGATCATTCACTTCTGTATCCTCAGCACCTAGCGCCTAGGACAGGGTAGGGGCTAATACATTGTAGTAAAGGGAGGAAGAGGGACAGAGTGAAAATGAATAATCAGAGAAAAGAAAGAACTGTCTCTTGATGGTTTTCAGCTGAGGGTCCATTAAGACTACATTTAACGCCTCTCCTGATGAAAGCCAGGCTTTCCTGTGTTATCCTCTTTGATCAGCAGTACAGTGGGAAGAGGCCTGACTAGACACAGTTTAGTCTTAGGCATAACTGAATTAGTCTTAGGCGTAACTCTAGACTTGCTCTGAAACTAGAAACATGGCCTTGGGCTCTTAACCTCACTGGGTCTGTTTCCAACTATGAAAACAAGAGAATGAGAAGATGCTGAAAAGAAAACTCATCACTACAGTTCTGTGACCAACAGGCTCTGTGTATTGGGATTCAACAGAAAAGATAAGAAAAATGATTCTGTTAGATAAGGTACTTCATGTATTCTAAATAATAGATTCTCTTAGCAGGTAATAACAAATGGAAATGCTTAACTTACCAGCTTCCAGAGAAGAAATCAGTAGAGCTATGAAACAAACAAGCCTGAGTAACACTTTCATGTTCTCCTAGAGAAACAGGAATGAAAGAAAAACAAAAATTAGAAATGTTACTATTCCAGAGACTTTCAAGATGGCAGTAGAGCAGGTGAATCTTGAACTGACCTCCTCTCTAAACCAAACTGGAAATACAAATAAATTGGGGAACAATCATCCTAAATAACCAACTGAGAACTAGCTGAAGAGGAGTCTTATGCTACTAATCAAGGATTTGCAGCAGAAGGTGCATTGAGACTGGTCGGAAGGATGGAGATGCAAGAGGGACTGGCCCCACTCCCACGGACACAGCTGAGGTGCTGGAGAGAACACTTAGCTACAGGGGCTTTCTCCTGGGAAGTGTGGGGCCTAAACCCAGGCCAGGCTCCCCAGCCCAGAGCACCAGAGCACCAGAACTGGAAAGAGGCGCCCACATAGCATCCAGCTGTGAAAGCAGCGGGGTTTCTGTCCACCAAGGAGAGGCAAGTCGGCTGGAGACACTGGCTCCCTCTTCAAGAGCAAACTTTAAGGAGAGAGGGTGGTGCTGGCTGGAGTCGCCTGAGGAGAGACTGGGGTTTGTGGCTCTAGTGAAAGATGTGGGGGGACAGCTGCCAGGACACCTGTACCCAGTCATTCTTGGATACCGCAGCAGCCACCTTTCTGAGGCAGGGCAATCCCCTCCGAGAGCATCAGCCTGGGGGAAAGCAATTACCCACCCCAGGAGTCCCTCGCACCCCACCCTGCAAGGAGCCACAGCCTAGGGCAGGGAGTAGAAGTCCGGGCAGACTTTGGGTGCCAGTGACTGGGTTTGAGGTAAGGCCATATGCCCACTTTTCCTGTGAACCAGACTGGTATTTCCCCATCACAGGAGGCCCCACAGACACACCCTCCAGCTCTTGACAGACCCGACTTTGGGCTCTGAAGGCCCCATCCTGAGTACTAAAGCATCCGCCCTGCTGAGCTCAAGGCAAAATCCGGGACAGACTCAGTCACCTGGCTCTGGGATGGGACATACCCACCACCTTCCCTGAAGTGTGAATGGCACCTCCCCGCACGAAGATCCACTAGCCCCACGCCAGAGGCTTTTTCAGTGAATGAGCCTAACAGGCAGCCAGCAGACAAGGAAGGCAGAGGCGGATTGCGGGGTGCCTTGGTACATGAGCCGATCTGCCCCAGGGCCCAGTACTAGTAACAGCCGGCCTTGGAGCACAGCTTGGTCCTTCCTGTGTGCAGCCAAGCACAGCAGAGGCAGCCATAACTGTGGACCAGGCACCGGCAGCGTCTGACACTGGCCTGCACCACAGTCCTTCCCAAAATGACCAAAAGCAACACACGAAGCGTCCAGCTCAGGCAGCACCGGAGCAGATCCAACAAACTCCACAAACAGCAGACTGAGCAGGCACTAAACCTGATGAGGTGATTGCCACTTTTTTCTTTTCCAATTTTTTTCTTTTTCCTTTCTATTTCTTTATTTTATTTTTTCTTATTGTTTTTTCTTTTCTTATAATTTTTTCTTATCCTTTTTATTCTTTCTTCTTTTCATATTCTTTTTATTCCTTTTTATATTATTATTATTATTATTATTATTGGTCAGCATCTGTACAGCAACTCACATGCCATGGTTGGGGGTTGAGCGTCATAATTAGACAGCCTAATCCCAAGCATGAACAGGCCAACAGCAATCAAGACTCAACTGCAACAGGAGGGCCCATATAAACCACATAACATTCCTAGTGCATCCGGCTCAGAGAACAAGGAGACTGCACCACTGGGTCCCACAGGACGCCTACTACACAAGGCCAACCTATGAAGACTGAAAGTCATAGCAGACATATTTAATACATAGAAACAAACACAATGAGGCAGCCAAAATGGGGAGACAAAGAAAGAGACCCCAAATGAAAGAACAGAAGGAATCTCCAGAAAAAGAGCTAAATGGATGTAAGCAAGCAATCTATCAGAGACAGAGTTCAAAGTAATGGTTATAAGGACTCTCAAGGCACTTAATGAGAACTATAACAGCATAAAAAAGAACATAGAAACCAGGAAAGGGAACCAGTCAGGAATGAAGAATACCATATCTGACAACAAGAATACACTAAAAGGAATAAAAAGTAGGTTGGGTGAAGCAGAGTATTGAATCAATGATTTGGAAGACGAGATAGAAAAAAAGACAATCACAAAAAGGAAAAGGATGTTTGAAAAATAAGGATAGCTTAAGGGAACTTTGGGGCATGAAGTATAACAGTATTCGCATCATAGAGGTTCCAGAAGGAGGAAAGAAAGAACAAGGGATCGAGAACCCATCTGAAGAAATAATGAGCAAAAAATCCCCTAATCTGGTGAAGGAAAATGGCATACAAGTCCTGGAAGCGCAGAGTCAGAACAAAATGAACCCAAGGAGGCCCACACCAAGCACAGCATCATTAAAATGGCAAAGGCTAAAAACAAGGAGAGAATCTTGAAAGCAGCAAGAGAAGGCAGTCGCTTACTCTCAAGGGAGCGCCACAGACTGCCAGTTGACTCGGCAACAGAAACATGTCAGGCCAGAGGGCGTGGCACGAAATATTCAAAACGATGAAAAACAAGGACCTACAACCAAGGCTACCTCACCCAGCAAGGCTATCATTTAAAATTGAAGGAGAAATACAGCAATTCCCAGATAACAAAAAGCTAAAGGAGTTTGTTATGCGAAAATTTAAAGGGCTTGCTTTAAGAAGCAGAACAAAAAGGGGGGTAGGAGGCACAATAGAAGATAGTTAAAAAGAAAATGACAACAAATATGTGCCTAATAATGATCACTGAATGTAAATGGCCTAGATGTTCTAATTAAAAGGCATAGGCTAGCTGAATGGGTAAGAAAACAAGACTCATGTATATGCTGTCTTCAAGAGACACACCTCAGAAGGAAAGATACACACAGACTAAAAGTAAAGGGATGTAAAGAGATAATTCATACAAATGGAAAGGGGGAAAAGTTGGAGTAGTACTACTTATATCTGACAAAATGAGCTTGCGGCTACTTATGTAGATTTGTTCCGTATCTGGACTGTACCCCATTAGTAGGACCCACTTGCAAAAGTCTCCCTAAACTTCCAGATCCACTCAAAGCTCACACTTTCATCTTACAAAGTAAGACATAAGATTATTTGTATAAAATTATATAGCTGTATGAAAATGCACCAAAAAAGACTAAAAAACATAACAACATATTAAAATTGGGTTGGTTCCTGCCGTTGGGTGGTTTTCCCCTTCTCTGTAACTTTCTATCTAAAATTCCTATAATGAGCATGTAGTAACTGTATCACAAAGTGAAAAACAAAAGCAAAACCTTCACGGCCCCCACCCTCGTGTGACGTAGATGGCCGACCAACCTGGCACCAGCTACAACAGATACAGGCCAGCGATGAGATCACATATGAAGCGAGGTCCCAGGGATGCAGTTTAATTATATGACACTTTGTCCACACATACGGCAGGGGCGCTATCACCTTCGGCACTGGCTGCCCGCTGCCAGGAGACACCACCACCGCCTTACCGACAAAAGCAACATCACCAAAACACGGCCATGGAACGCGGAAAGGGAGAAGGCACTGCTGCCGACCTTCCCATGCTTCGCAAGCCCAGAGGAGGCCAATGCTCAACAGAACCTTTTCCTTCCGAGTTCCTGCTCCTGAGACCAGGCCACACGGCCGTCACTGCTCCTGAGACCAGGTCACACGGCCGTCACCTGCTCCTGAGACCAGGCCACATGGCCGTCCCCTGCTCCTGAGACCAGGCCACATGGCCGTCCCCTGCTCCTGAGACCAGGCCACATGGCCGTCCCCTGCTCCTGAGACCAGGCCACATGGCCGTCCCCTGCTCCTGAGACCAGGCCACATGGCCGTCCCCTGCTCCTGAGACCAGGCCACATGGCCGTCCCCTGCTCCTGAGACCAGGCCACATGGCCGTCCCCTGCTCCTGAGACCAGGCCACATGGCCGTCCCCTGCTCCTGAGACCAGGCCACATGGCCGTCCCCTGCTCCTGAGACCAGGCCACATGGCCGTCCCCTGCTCCTGAGACCAGGCCACATGGCCGTCCCCTGCTCCTGAGACCAGGCCACATGGCCGTCCCCTGCTCCTGAGACCAGGCCACATGGCCGTCCCCTGCTCCTGAGACCAGGCCACATGGCCGTCCCCTGCTCCTGAGACCAGGCCACATGGCCGTCACTGCTCCTGAGGGGCACCTGCATGTGCAGTGAGTTCCAGTCTCAGACCCCCAGGGGACCTTCGCACAGATCTATTTGAGGGCCCCGAGGACCTCAAACTCAAGAGGCCCCAAACCAAGCTCTCTGCCACACCTGCTCCCTACCCGTGACAGGTGCAGCACTGCCCTGCATTCCCCACTGTGAGGACACCCTTGCCCCCTGCACCCCCCACCTAAGGGCAGACACACTGCACCCCTAGCCCCCAGCACTGCCCTGCATCCCCCACCGTGAGGGCACCCCCAGCCCCCGGCACTGCCCTGCACCCCCCACCGTGAGGGCACCCCCCAGCCCCTGGCACTGGGCGTGGAACTCAGAAGCCTTAATGAGTCCTCATGGAATGAAAGAAAAGTGAATAAAAGGTGTGGTTACCCTCCCGCCACTTCAGCAGCATGTCCAGAGCAGACCATGCTTTGAAAACTCTGCCCTTTGGTTTACACAGGAGAATGCACTGGCCTGTACTCTTATCTGTAGCTCTAAGTTAATTGCAAACACAAAATATTTTACCCAAGACATCACTCATTCAGACTCTATTGACATGCAACCATCTGAATAGTACCCAGAAAATGTTCTATTAAGAAGTGGTGTTAACAGGAATGAAAATGTTACACTGTGCTTTTTAAATAAATGGAGGGAAATGATCCCTATGCCTGGCTCAAGCCTGGAAACTTTCCCGGAGCAGTAAGACTGCGTTCCTAAAATGTCCTAACTCTAACTTTTATTCGAAATAACTTGACCTTCTCCCAGCTTAGCCTAAAATTGCATTCACAGTATTATCATGTTGCCTTT